AACAAATTAGGTGTAATCTCTGCTATTGCAACTTGACTAATTAGCCAAACCTAGTAATGAGAGTTGGTGCAACGAAGAAATTGAACCCTTAACCGTTCGCACTTTACGCACCTTAACCATTTCTCAGATTACACTAACTTTTTGGAACAATCTTTTGGTACTTGACGTAAATTTAGCGTAAAAAGTAATTGTTCAATATTTTGGGATTGATTGTTTCTTCTATGCTGACTAATACTCTAATTTTCAATCTGAAAAATTCCGTCCGGCGTAGACATGTTCGTAGCATGAGCGCTCCCTGAGTTGACAGATCAGTAAAGCGTAGACATATTTGAAGCGTGAGCGGACTGAGCGCCCTCTGGACTATAACACTGATCCAGATAGTTGGGCCCAGAAGCAGAATTAAACGAACTCATGTTTGTAGGATCAGGTTTGAGCTGAAGCATTAGCACGAAGAAGGAGATAACAATGTTCAACTGACGCATCATGGAGCTGGTGCCTAGCCTGCGCGAAGAAAAAGAATCGTTCGTTTTAAACATAATATTTCTTCCTAAAATTCTAAAATTGTATCTGTGAATTACTTATTATTATATTGCACTATGTTATTCCAATGATTATTTATTTTATTGTTTATTCATCATGTTAATAAATTCATAAGGAACTCCATGAATGTGTTATGTTCTTCATATTACAGCTTTGTTCTTCATATTACAAATTAAAAGTATATTGCGAGTGCGTTTTATATCTGCTACTAGGGACACGTTCCCCGATATTATTGATTATTATTTCTATTTTAAATAACGACATACAAATATTAAAGGATTAATAATGGCATTGTTACTAATGTAGAAAGCAGGCACCTCTCCATGCCCCAGACCTCGACCTCGGCGTGCCGTGCCTCCAGCCTCGCCACCAGAACGTCGAGCGGCGCGCGTACGTCCGGCGCCAGCACGGGGCTGTGCAGCACCTCGGACAGGGCGACCGTCAGGCACATGTGCTGGGGGAAAAAACTTCGCAGTTTAGGCTGGCGAGATCATCATGATCGCAAAAATGCTTTGATGTCATTTATTTTCACTGTCACTGCACTCATGAAAGCTATTAAAATTATTCTTTTACTGCCCAAAAACTTGAAATTTCCGAAAAAAAATAAAACTATTTTAATAACTATGGCGATCACTTGAATTAAAAAAAACAATGAGACTTATAAGGTAAACTTACCATACAGGTTCAATTATTCTAAAAATTTTATTCTGCAGAAAAGTTATTACCTTGAATTTGATTGTCTTACTCGGTCCATTATGATAACTACTTATATAATTATATTGTTTTTCTCATTGAAAGCGCCTGCTTTAGTTTAATAGCATGTTTTTTGCTCCTTACAAATCTTCAGAATTCATAATAAGAGCATTTCATGATGGATTTTTGAATGAGATGTCACCCAGCATTGTAAGAATATTGGTGCATAAATGTCGACGGAAACTGAACGAGACTTTGATTAAACAGTAGTCAACACATCGAGAGACAAGTGAACCGTTTGAGTAGGTTTACGTACGGAATCATTGATTGCCTCCCCCGCCTTGCACACGTGTGCCAGCCGCACGATAAGTTCCAACATGAGCACCGCCAAGAGAAGGTACAGGGGAAGGCATTGGTTGCTCTGCTGGAAGGTCGTGATGGTGTAGAGGTAGGACATCATTTGTGCCGTGAACAGAATCAAACGAAGGAACGTAGTCTTCCGAAAAATCTGATGCACAAATTAAACAACTTTTACCTATGCCATAAGTTGGGTCGCCCAAAATTCTTCAATGCAAAGTATCAATGAAAATTGGCATTAAATATATTAAAGCATATATTATAAAAGTGATAAATTGTGCAGAAGGGAAAACAATAATCATATCGTAATCTGTTACCTCAACCCTTTCTACGAGCTTATGCGACACTTTTGGCTCACTTCTCCTTTATATCGTATACGTAAATTTGAAAGACTCACTGTGTTGTGGTAGATCATTAGCTTCTTAAGGCGTATCCATTGTTTCCCGATTTCTGTGATACAGTCCTTACTCCAAACTTGTGTTGATCGAACCTTCTCTCCGAGAGTCTGGTATCCAGCACTGATTGACCAAATGAAAATGCAGAGGTACATGTCCTGCAGTACCGGCAGAGAGGTGTTCAAGAACACCGGCTGTACTACCAAATATCTGTACCCCTCTGGCACCAGAAAGCACAGTGACACAGATACCTGGCATGAGAAAAGGTACATTGCCAGGAATAAAAGAAAGAATTTCTTCGAAGGCTTCACTTTGATGACATTCAGAGCAGTCATGTATTGGGCGAGAAGCCGGCGGTGACGAAGTGACGATATGGCCACCTGAGCGATGTAAACGAATCCAAATATTGTGGGAAGGACCAATATGACGTACCAATATGGGCGGTCTTCGCATGTGAGAAACCAGATGTACATTCCAAATCCATAAATTGCATCGACTACGACAACTACGCAGCATAATACGTGGAACCGGCTCGTTTTGAACACTTTGTTCTTGTCTTGGCATATCGCGTGGATACCAAAATATCCTGCCATTATAAACACGAACCTGAAGGATGTTGAAATGGTGGAGTAGTTTTCTTCGTCACTTGAGTCGAGACAAACGCTGACATTCGACTCCCGAGATTCAAAATGAAGAGGTTTGCAGACAACATTTCTATGATTGTTGAGTAGCTGCGAGTTTTTCCTTTTCATTGAGTTCATCGTGAATAACCAGTCAACAGTTTGCAGAACAAGCAATTTTAGGGACAGTAGAATTCGTGCCATCTAGCAGAAATTTTCGCCAAGGTAATATAGACGTAATGCTCGTTCGAGTATCGTCCGATGGGCAGTGAATCAGCCGAAAAGCAACAGAAAGAGACCGTCTAGATAAGAAAGTTTGAAGAATTAATCACATATTGTCCAAATGTGATGGTAAACACAGGCCATGTTGTTGCACAAATATTTGTCTGGTCAGAGATCGATTTCAGCCTAATGCACAGACTCTGATCTCAATGAGTATGCTATTAGCGCTTGAGTTTCTTTTGGAACTTTGAGAGCAGAAATAATTTTAGCAGTACATACAACCTAAATATCAATACCGAAAGGTAGCTCACTTAAATTAAGTTTTCATAATATTTATTTCGTGTTCGTGATGATTCGAAACTAGAAAAGTTCCTCTCCCGCGCCCATGCACATTTTTCGTCTAAATTAATTTGTGGATTTTGATACATTTTTTAATTGGTTTTTGTTCAGGTTACGGTAGTCGTTTTTCCTACCGTTCCAGAAATTGACGCACCAAGTTAATCAGACTTTGAAGCCTGGCATTTTATAGTCACGAGCTGCTTCCAGACACCCATGGTTGAACTCAGCCATGGCAGATCTTTGTTAGGATACAGCTGGTGGACGATCCAAAAGCTGTAGGCGTGATATTTTATCACACGAGGGTCGCTGAACTACCTATTGCTTTGACGATAATTTAGCAACATATCATATATTTCATTTAACTATGCATGCCAGATTTTTACCAGTTTCTAAGCGGTTAAAATAATACGGTTAAAAGTTTTTGGCTTGCACATGTATATAATGGCTCGTGCGCAATGACATATTAGCATATCATGAGAAAATTGCGTTATCACCTAAACTTAATTCCAAACACAATTTTTGTAATACATTTGTGTACTATATTTAATTGGTACTTATGTACTCGAAGAAAATACATGTAAATACTATATGATTAATAAAATGCTGAAAGTTTATCCTTATCTTAGGAGCAGAACTCTGAACCATTGCATCGTTGTTTCAAATGAGTCATTGTGCTATCATTGCAAAACAACATTCCTGTGGTGGCCAAATGTAACGTCCAGAAGATTTAAGAACAATTTAGGCAATAATTATTCAGTGTTTATATAGATTTTTTTGCTGTACTTAGAATCTAATGTGCAAGCATCATCGAAACATCTCTCAGTTGCAAGCTCTAAACATTATTATTATTATTATGAATATTATAAAACATTATTGCCGAGCCATCTCGGTTGAAATTCCGGAATTCAACTCTTACTCTGAAGCTATTTATTGACATTATGCTCCTGCAAACGTTATCAGAATTAATTTTGCGAGCCTCAATTTCAAGTAGTGCGTTACACGCTACGTTTATCTTCCTCTACTCTAAAACTCTGCGTTTTGAGCGCCACGTGAAAACGAAACGGACGAAAATAATTCTGACAACGCGTGCAGGAGTGTATTGTAAATAAATAACTTCGTTGGTAATCAGGTCAAGATCTGTTTCAATTTGAAGAAATTAAGCGTGGAAAACCTGCTAAAATGTAGCGTTTAGCACGCTAATTAAAATCGATGCGGAAAAAAATCTGACAATGGTGGCATGAGCGTAATGTCAATCAATATCTTCTTTTTTAATTTGGCCCTGATCGGTTTCGATTTTTCAAACTTATGCGTGCAAAATCTGCTATGGAAATTGGTCCCAAAAGTGTCGATTTAGTGTGACTTGGATCCTGACTTGGATATTGAAAAAAAAATTAAAAATTACAAATTTGCATTGATTCATTTGAAAGTAAGGCTGTATAAATCGATTCATTCACAGCCTTATGATTCATCATAAGGCTGTATAAATCGACCTGTCTGACATTTTCTTGAGGAAGCAAAAACTTTCCAAGATTGTTCTCGAAATAGAAATAAATAAATAAATAAACTCTTCGACATCCTCAGCTTCAAGGCGTATCCATTGGTTTGTGCGTTTGTCCTAATCGGCCCGCGGCCAGCGGACCAAAACCGCATAGTTAAATTTTATGTTTTTGAAGTTTGTTTCACATGTAATTGTCAAAGATTTTTAAGCATTTGGTTCCGTTACCTGTTCTAACTCGAATATTGCTCTTAAATTTATTATATATTGTTCCCTTTTAACTTTAAAATTAGTGTTGAACTTGGTTAGTTTTTCAAAATATTTCGTTTACATTATCGTGTTAAATACGAACGGATTGCACTGATATCAGGAAGGGAATGTTTTGCATTATTGGATTTAAAGTTGTGGAGTCTGGTCGATTTGTTCCGCTAGTCATTCATCACATCTACTAAGTTTTTTGATGTTTCGAGCACTGAATTTAGAATGTTAACGTAATTATTGTTTTATTACGACACTGATTGTTACTGTCTTTTGTTCATTGCGAATATGCCTCCGAAAGGCGTCGGTAAGGCCGTGAGCAAGCGGTGTCCTCAATGCAAGAAGCAGGTGAGTTGAGTTCGATTCTGTATTCATTATTGGCGAATTTATGTAAACGATAGCTTTTATTTCAAGGATATGGTAAATTATTCATATTTTGTGTTTAAAAGCTGATATTTTCAATCGTGACGTATTTTATCTTGGTTCTCCGCGCGTCTAGTAGGCGAAAGTCGATCCTTATCATCCCTTGTGGTCGTGGATCTCACGGGACTCGGGGGAGGCTGGGGAGGTGACAACTTCTTTAACTTTACATGAAACCGTAACTTGTCAACGTACGCTGATGTATCGTAAAAATGTTACTTTATTGTTGTATATCGATTAACCTATTAATCAACTGTAAAAACCTCATTCATTTCGAACTGTCTCGATAAATTTGCAATGGTCATTACACTATCATTGTTTGGCCTTTAGGTATTATAAATTAGTGACACAATAGGTATATGCTCAATGCACATTCACAGTTGTCAATTGTGATTGTGAATGATTTTTTTATTTCAAAATTGAAGTGATAAATGATTAGAAAACAGCAAATCTCAAATCCCTGTAAGTGTATTTTGATCTGGGTGAAGATAGGATTAGGAGGTATAGGTAGGTAAATGGAAATATATGTGCCTACTATAAAGTCTTTTGGCAAATTGGCACACAAATCCCTTTTTTCCTCACTTGTTTCACCTTATTTGCATATTCAGAATTCAGATTGTATGAAATTTAATATGGATTTTCAGAATTTCAGTTTCATAATCTCTGAAAAGTGGGTAGAACTTAGAAGGATTAATGATTGTTTGTTTTGTATTAATTGACTGATAGCCTATTAATTAATCTGTAATACTAATTGGTACTGATCCATCTCTATTGTGCAAGGTGGGAAAAGTCCTACTGTTTTCTGAAATGTTGCTGATCTAATATCATATAAATTACATGACATTAGGGTCACAAGATTTCATACCCAAGGAAATTGTATGATATAATTCTAGTAGGTATGAAATCTTGCAACTCTAATGGCATATATTTTTGTTTGATTGAAAAATTTCAATTTTCACTTTGCAAACTTGTTTCATAAAATTTCCAACTTTTGTAATCTGCAGTACTGCAAGGCTCCTGCCAAAATATCTTGCAGAATATAATGATAATGACTAAATGAGTCAACCCAAAATGTTTTGTTGAAAAGTGCATAGTTGCGGTCACAGCACAGCACACGCACAGCACTCAAACTGCACAGCACTATCAAGTGTTCAGTTGCCACTAAAGTAAACACAAATGTTATTATTGCTGTTTGACTGTTTTTAGAGTAAAATTAGAGATTTGTAGTAACACATGCTCAGGACTTTGTGAATAAGTTTGTGGCTTGTAAATGGCCAGAGCTGGGCAGCGCTACTTGGAAATGTAGCGGCGCTACCGCTACCGCTACATGCTCGAAATGTAGCGGGCGCTACCGCTACCGCTACACCCACTAGATTGTAACGGGCGCTACCGCTACCGCTACATGCTCTAAATGTAGCGGGCGCTACCGCTACCGCTACACCCACTAGATTGTAACGGGCGCTACCGCTACCGCTACAGTAAAATGTAGCGCGCTACATTAGCCGCTACAATGGCCAAAATTATTGGAAATCTCTAAATATTTATTAATCTGAAATTGGGATTTACTCATTAACATTTAATGATAATAAAACATTTTTAAAACATATCAATGCAACTTTATTGCAATTAACCTAACCTAACCAGTATGGGTTAACCCCAGGGTTAGATACAGCAAATAAAAGTTACAGTTATTTTTATGTTTTACCTTCCCTACATGGATGTGAACTTTAATCTACCAATCTAAGAAATTATCCACATATACATATAAAAATCAGTCTTTTTTTGTATATATATGTGGATTATTTTTGAGATTGGTAGATTAAAGNTGTAAATCCATAAAATTATGGCTCGAAAAAATAATAGAAAAATCCAGCTGCAGCTCACCAAGTAGATATATTCCATTCCTGCCTTCAAGCATGAAAAACTTCTACCAGTAGGGCTGCGAATACCGTCAAACGGGGTAAAATGGGATGGTTTTGAGCATTTTTTGTTAATAACTTCTTACCATAAAACATTTCATAAACAAGTTTGGGCTCATTTTAAAGGTCTTTGCAAGGGCTATTGTATGGCATCTCCAAAAAAATTCCATATGCTATTTGTAAGGTACTAGACGCAATATGAAAGGCTCCTGAATCAATCTGGAAATGGGGTAAGAAGGGACACTTGAAATAAAATTCAATTTTAAACATTTGAAGCATGCAGAGTGTACTCATCTATTACTAACAGTACTCTGAAGTCCTCCTCTTCCTTTGTAGATGATGTAAATGTAGAAAAAATGAAATGACATGCCATTGAGCATTGACTATGACCTTGTCCACTGCAAGCTTCATATCAGCAGCCATGTAGCATTTCTTCTGTATCTGTAAGCTTACAGGATGGTTTGTAATTTCTCACAATTTTAATTGAGTCAAGTGATTTCACTATAACAAAATAGATTGTAAAAAAACATACCTGAAACAGGAAGGAATATTTTAGTGACAACCATCATTTTTTTGGAGAAATAAATCATAGTTTAGGTTAATTACTTTTCATTCTTTGTTGCCCAGTGCTCAATTCTATCTGTGACATTCTATGCACAATTTTGTGACGACTGTTGCAGTAATTTTTTATTAAATGAATTTTTTTTCACTGAGCGAGGTAAATGTAATCAAAATTCTTTGTTGTTAATTGATTTTTTCATTAACTGGAGCCTTTGCTAACCAAGGTTCTACTGTAAATGCAATTTTAGGGTGTCCCTTATTACCCCGTTTTGCGGAAATGACCAGCATTTTTTCTTGGAATGAGATATGCAAATTCTGTCAATCATGTTTTTAAGCCAGGCAAGAGGTACTTTTCCAAAATCTCACTTTTCACACTTTTTTTCAGGGATTTTTTAGAGGTAATAAATGTACCGTAAAATGGGGTAACTTTGACTCCCTGGGTAATTAGACCACTTTTCGTTTTTTTAACAAAAACCCCCAAAACTCAAAAACTATTTGACATAGAAAAATTTTGTCAATGGGCATTAAAGGCCTAATACTGAAGCTACATAACACAATAGAAAGATTTAAAAAGTTTGCATATCTAATAGGTTAAAAAATTAAAAATGTGACCCACAAAAAAAAAGCTATTATTTAAAGCCTGTCCGAGTACCCCCTCCAATTTTTTTATTTTTGGGTAAAATAACTCCAGGTTTTGATGCATTGTAGTAGAACTCTTCTAGTTACATATGCAAATGACAAATTTTAGGAAAGTGTCATAGTTTGCAAATGGGGGGCGCTGCCCCCAAATGGGGGAACTTAGACCACCTAATGTCAGCCCTGATGGGGTAACATAGACCGGCTTGGAAGTTAATATAAAATTACCATATATAACATATTTTATGTTTGACAGCCTATTAATGTTTTTTCTTTATGTTTCAGACTCTACAGAGTCTTATGTATGGTAATTTTAACTTAATTTCCAAGCCAGTCAATATTTGCCCCGTCAGGGCTGCCATTAGGTAGCCACATTTCCCTCATTATGGGGCGGCACCCCCATTTGCAAACTACGACACTTTCCTCAAGTTTGTCATTTGCATATGTAACTAGAAGAGTTCTACTACAATGCACCAAAACCTGGAGTTATTTTTATTATTATTTGGAGTTGTTACAATGCACCAAAACCTGGAGTTCATTTTTTGGACCAAAAAATGTAATTGATTTTACCACCTGGTCTAAGATACCCTAAGAGCTGGGGTAACAAAAACCATCACTTTTTTTTTAATTACATAAAAACTATGAGAGGCAGGAGCCAGCAATTTAAGGTGAGGGAACCTAGAGTATAGACCTGTATTTTGCATGTTTCAATTCAAGTTTAATTTAGCTAGTAAAAAAATGGGGTCATACCCCCCGGTATGATTTCTCAACTTGCTTTATGCTGCGTAGATAGTAAAAATGTTGAACTTTACACCACTATTTTTAGTTTTGCATTATTTAATTAGTTTAGCTGCTACAACATTTCTACAAAATGTTGGAGGACTGTCCCTTTTTACCTCGCCCCTCCCTTTGTACCCCATTGGATGGCATAGCTTTCTCGCCATTTCTGGAATCGTGAGATTTCTGCCAGATGAATTACCTCCTATCTAATTGTTAACAAAAGTGCATGATTGGGCTGCAATATTCCAAATGTATTAAAAATTTGTCACTTTGAAGCTGCGAGATTTCAGAAACAAGTAGGAAAATTCCAATCCTGCCTGCCATAATGAACGTCAGACATGTAGTATAAGTTGGCTATAGGTCCTATATAGGCAGGAATGCATGGAATGTATCTACCTTTTGAGATGCATGTAGAGCTTTTCTGTCATTTTTTGAAACTATGAGATTCCTCCTAGCTAATAAAAAATTAACTCCTATCTAATTGTTAATGAAATTGCACAATTATGCTGCAACAGGATTATAATTTTCCTACTTATGAATGAAATCTTGTTTTTGCCACGTGTCTCCTGCGGGTGAGGCAAACACTTCGCCTACTTGTACTTGATAGGTTGGCAACAATCTACTTGGGAAGTGGATAATGATGAGACTAAAATTGCTCCAAATGCTGTCGGCCTGCTTGCGGTTGGAGCGCGGCCCGGATACGGGCCCAAATCGACAGCAAATCTCTCCCCGTCCCCCGAAAGGGGGACCCGAAGCCCATGTTTTTTGGTGCTGCCGGCCTGCGGCTCCCCACGTGTGGTCGGCGTCTCTGTTGCTACTAGCGGGGGATGTTGAGGAGAACCCGGGTCCAAGGACAGCCCGGGTCAGGGAGAACCCGGGTCCGACTTGGATGTGTGACATATGCAATAGGCAAATCACAGAGAACCAATACTCAGTTCTCTGTAATAGTCTTGCCCCACATTGGGTCCATAAAAAATGCACAAACATAACACTCCGTCAATACACAAAGTCTTGGACCTGTCCCCAACACACTCCACCACTCCCTCCCAGGCCTGATACAGAGCCACCACCAGCATTGCAACTTGTTCCAAACCCAGCCACTGCACCCCAACCTCCGTTCCCCCCGCCAGTCACAACACCTAACAATCCCACACAACCCCTATCTCCACCAATCCGACTCCGAAAAACGCCCTCTGATATCAAGATAATGCAAATAAATACAAATGGCCTCACAAACAAAATAGAAGACCTCAAACTAACCACAAAACAACATGACATCGACATCATCACAATCCAAGAATCCAAACTTAAACCAACGACTCGCACACCCACTATACCTGACTATACTGCTATTCGTCTAGACAGGGCTCACAAGACAGGAGGTGGACTCATCATCTACATTCATAATAACATAGTTTTCACAACTATCACTATTCCACAACACATCAACCAAGAAGCCACTGAAACCCAACTAGTCAAAATACATCTCTCTAACAACAAGTTCGTCCACATAGCTAACATATACATCCCTCCCAGGGACACACGCCTACCACACCATCACAACCTAGACCAACACATCACTGACTGTTTCACATTCCTCCTCAACAAGCCCTACACCATTATTACAGGAGACATAAATGCCCACCACCCATCCTGGTACTCTCCTAACTCAGACCACAGAGGCATCCTCATCAACTCACTTATACAAAATTCCAACCACATCATTCTCAATGAAAACTC